CGCTGTCAGGGTGAAACGGAAGCAGCCTGGCCGTGCCTGGGACAGTGCTTCCAGCAGGTAGGAAACTCGAAAGGTGCTTATAGCACCAAGGGGTTTCCTGCCTCAAGAGTGAGGTTTTTAGTTTCACGTACACATAAAATGTAGGTCCCCGAGTCTTTGGCGGTGTTCTGGCTTAACGCGGTCAAGCCTGACTTTGAAAGGCTGGTGTGGGGCAGCCGAGGCCGCGGGGGGTGGGGGCGCAGGGCGGCCGTGTCCCTTAGCCGCGAGGTTGCTGCCTCATGAGGAGGCGGCCCCGGCCGTGTGCGCACAAGGCCGGGCAGGGCGGCTCGGAGGCGGCCGCAGCGGGTTTTTCGCTCGTGGCGGGCCACTGAGCTGCGGCTCTGCGGAAAGGAGCCCATGAGGAGTGTTTCTGAGAGCAGGTCCTCACCAGGCAGGGGCAGGCCCGCTCCCCGGGGAGACCTGTGGGCGAGTGCCGTGCAATGGGCAGCCTCTGCTGCCAGCTAGGCAGTAGATAAGAGGAATTCAATTTAAATGCCTTTTTTGTGTGTGTATCCTGGCTTGAACCGAGTTAAGTTACTCGAGCCTTAGAGCTAACTCGCTAGGGCTCATTTTTGATAAAGAGCTCAGTGTTGCAGCAGCCCGCGTGCAAACACGGGCTGTCGAGCCCTTTTGCCGCCTGCAGCCCCAGAGCACCAGCAGCGCCCGCTGCAGATGGAGGAACTGCCACCTCCGGCAGCAGCCAAAGAGCAGCATCCAGCCCGCTGCACTTAGGTGCGACGGGACACTGTGGGAGCAGCGCAGAAGTAGAGGAGCAACCTGCTGCTCCAAGAGTTATCCCTGCACGTCAGGCTTGGTGAGGGCTGCAGCGGTAACGCTGTGCCCTCCCCGGCTGGCCGCCCTGTGCGCAGAGCCAGGGCAGCGGCTGAGGAAGCACCTGCAGGTTTCTGGGGCTGAGTGAGGGGCCACCCCAGAGCCGCCCGGCTTTCGGAGCAGGGCCGTGCATAGGTGCCGTGGGAGGCCGAGTTAGGAGCAGGCTGGCGGGGCATTGCTCCCTGCAGGAGAAAGCAACACACGCAGAGTCCTTTCTAAGTTAAGCATGTCTGAAACTGTTGCTTTTTCCTTGCGTGATTGTGCTTGCGCAGGAAGAGCTCCACCAGCCCAGCAGCCCTCTCAGCACAGGAGGAATTAGGGCAGGGCCCTGGAAATGCTGGGAAAACAAAATAGCAGGTACAGGCTTAGAGGCAGCTCACCCTCAGGCACACAAAGGCAGACCAGGACACTGGAGCCAATGTTCATCCTGCATGTGGTTTTACTGTCCGAACTGAGCAAACGCGGTTCCCTGGGGGGAAATCAGCAAGTGTCTCGAGGGAGATTTGCATGGGATGAGCCCAAGCGCCCGCTGCGTTGCCCTGCGTCCCAGGTGCAGCAGCACAGGCTGCTCTGCGCGCGAGGCCTCCCCGCCGGCAGCTCTGCTGCTACGAGAGTCCCAGGCATGCAAGAAGCCACCCGCCACGGGCTGCCCTGGCTTCTGCATCAGTAAATCACGCCTGGCATAAAACTTAATGATCTGCCCCTGCCTTGTTTGTGAACCCCAGCCAAACACGGGCACAGCGCTGCAGCTGTGGCTGTTACAGCAAAGGGCTCCATTGATAACCTCCTGTGCAGCAGGTTGTGGTGCACAAGAACGGGGTAATTATGTCCTTGTTACCCTCAAAGGAGATGCACAGCTGCCAGAAACAAGAGTTTATGATTAAAAACCCGCATCAAGTCAAGGACAGCATTTCATTCATTTGTAAAAGAAAAGGCTGCTTGTGTTGACTTGACAGTTGTTTTCAGTGTTGTGTGGTGCATGCTCCGATAGGCCACCCCATCCTGGCTGTTTCGAGAACCAGCACCAGGTATAAAATGTGCCCATGGTGAAGTTCAACACAGATTAGAGAAACGGGAATGGGAGGCAGAACCTCAACAAGCAGAACTTCAACAACATGAACATCAATAGCTAAGGGCTTGCAGCGTGGAAAGAGACTTTGAAATAGAGCAAACAGGCATGGGAGAGAAGCAGCGAGATCCTGCCCTCTGTCCCACACTGGGGGCAGCTCCATCCGCTCACTGGGCAGCGCGCGGGGGCCGGAGCGCGGGGCAGAGCTGCAGCTGGCACAAGGCGGCAGCGAGGAGGAGGGCTGCAGCACAGGATGCCCCTGGGCCATGTGGAGCGACCTTTCCCCAGAGCAGAGGGCTGAGAAAGGGAGCCGAGACTTAGCACCGCAGGGCCGGACCCGCTCCCACGCAGCTCACCAGGCGCCCGGCAGCAGAGCCCGGGCGGGCGTTCGCCCTGTGCTGTCCCCCTGGGCCGCCCGGGAGCCGCGATGCCGACGAGCGCTTCTGCTGTCACCTCTGTGGATGCCCCGGCCCTCACCCCAGTGCTTGACAGCTTCCAAACAGCCACAGCTATTTATCTTCCTAGTCCTGTTCT